AGGTCCTTCTGAAGTCTCTCATTCGATGAGAGATTTCGGAAGAACCTTGCCTTAGAGTATTCCAACTCTTGTTCTCTTGTCCCTGAATAGTCAGAAAAGCTATTTGACTACTTAAGGCAGAGATTATCCGAGGTCCCTCATTTGATGAGAGGCCTCGGATATCTCTGCCTTAAAGTTGTACACTTGTAGTCCATCAGAATGTAAGTATACACGGATAGGACAGCTTTCTTCTGAAGTCTTAGATTTGATGAGAAGCCTCAGAAGAAAACTGTCCTATTTTTATAATAGGAGGAGTTTCAGAAGCTCCAGAGCTCCCTTTCGTAAGGAATAGGAGCTTTGGAGCTCCTGGTTCGAAGATGTGCTTCGCATCTTTCATCAGCATAGAATATTTATAACTGGGACTCTGTTGATGAAGACTCAGGAGCTCCAAAGCTCCCTTTCGTAAGGATTAGGAGCTTTGGAGCTCCTGGTTCGTAGATGGGCTTCGCATCTTTCATCAAAAGAGGCCCAAATGGTAAATATCCTCTGCTGATGAGCTTCAGGAGCTCCAAGGCTCCCTCTCGTAACGATTAGGAGCTTTGTAGCTCCTGAAGGTAAGGTAGGATTGCTCTGATCTCTAATCAGTAGATGCCATGCCTCATTATGGACTCTACTGACAAGAGATCAAGAGCTCCAAGGACTCCCTTTTTAGCTAGTGGCATTCTCACCATTTAGTAGGATCGCTGATCCTACTAATGAAGTGATCACTTAATATACGTTTTGAATAAATTGAATTTTTTTACAAAAATTTAGTATTTTTATAAACATCACATATATATTATAAATACGTAAATATATTCTTTAATTCAAAAAATTCAATTCGGTTTCGGGCTGGGTATCCCAGCCCCAAGTATTCAATTTTATTCAATTTTTTTAGAATTTTGGGTTGGGGTGCCCAGACCAAAACAAACTTTATATTTTGATGTGTAGATGCGTATGTGTACATCATTATTGCGTTATATATTATATTTTTAATGAAAAAATCTGATTCAAAAAAATTATCACTAATTAGTTGATAATATAAAGAAAAAAAATATAAATTGTATGTTTTGAGAGTATTTATCCACATTCACTCATATGAATTTCATTAAATAGTGTCTTTTTACTCCAAAATTTATTTTGAATTATTGAAATCAAAGAAAAAAAACTAGAAAATTTCTCGAAATTTTATTTTTTAAAAAAATTTTGGATTTTATATTAAAAACTGACACTGGGAGGACGATAGGGCTGGGATTAGAGATACCCCGCTCACTTGGGAAAAATACGATCTATAGTTATAATTTAAATGAAGAAGTAATTTAAAACGATTTTATTTATGATCAAATTTTATATATTTTTTGATCAAATCCATTTTAATAGAATTTATATACTATTCATCTATTAGTAAACACTACCGTATATTATTTTTTAAGCTATCTTATTTTTTGAAATTTTATTCAAATCTTTGGTCGCAAGAAGAATTGCATGATAAATAAAAGCATTTAATCAAAGTCAATTTTATTTTTCATATTCAAATGGACTGAGTGTTAACATTTAACATTTTTTGCTAATTGTCGTCAAAAATTAGGCGTAAAGCAAAAATTGATATTTCATATGGTTTTATGATAGATAAGCATTATATTCCCACTCATTATATTCGTAAATTTTGAGGTTTATCCTTCGCTTTTAAGATCATTGAATTTGATTTTTATATAAAATAGTTATATATTAGAAAATAATATGAGTTTATGTGATATTATTTTTCAGAAGATTTCATTCTATATGCCTATGAAAAGTACTCTCAAAACTAACTTTTTCCTAATTATAATTAAATCTAGAATATTGTATTATGCTTAGTATTATTTCATTTTTCTCATTCAATTTAGAATTTACAAATGTCAAAAAATTGAGAGCTGTCACTTTTGATGAATTTCTGTTTATTACAAATAAACAATTATTGAATAAATCATTAATGTTATTTAAAATTGCTATATTTTCATATGAAAGATTTTGTGTTTTTTATTTTTATTTTTTTTATGTCGATCAAGATGCATCAAAAGTGCAACACAACGAATTAACTACAATTTGCAAAGATTATAATAACTGTTTTGATTCATTGTACAAGCTTCCGAACAAAAATGACGAAGAAATCTCCAATACTTTCGAAAATATCAGAAATTATTTAATCAATACCAACTACATTTCAGTAGAACAAATCATAAAACAAATTTCTATCATTATTATTTACAGAAATCGTTATATAAAGTCATATTTGACTCTATTCAAAAAGATATACGACGAATATCATCCAGAATCAATTAACGGTGTTTCAAATATATTTGATTATATTGTTAACAAAACATTCGGCATCGTATTAGACAAAAACAATGCAAAATTATTCAAAGATTACGAATCTAAAAATTATTCACCGGATGTACATGAAGAAAATACAATATTTCGATATATCATGGACGATAACGTTGAATCCCTAAAGAGTTACACAGAAAGTAAAGAATATTTTAAAATTCCAACTTTGAAAGATAACTGCTTCTATCCACCAAATAAAGAAGGATATACATTGTTAGAATTATGTTGTTATCATGGTTCGATTCGTTCATTTATGTTTCTTAGAGAAAAATACAGATACGCTCCAATCACAAAGCGATGTCTTGCTTTGTCTTATTTAAGTGGAAATAAAGAAATAATCAATGAATGTTTGAAAGTACAAAAACCTTATTACGAATGCATGGAATATTCCATTATTTCACATGATTTTGATAATATTTTGTATTCATCATTAATTAATGAATACAAAATTCCTTTGATGTTTAATCCTTGTTGTAAATTTAATAATTTTCGAGCTATTTTGTCATATTTAGAACAAACTAATGATATTAACAAATGCATTGTTTATTCACCATGTTTTCATATTCTTTCTTTTGTTGAATACTTGATTTCGAAAGGCGCAGATGTTAATTCATCAGATGCTAATAAAATGACTGCTCTTCATTTCGCCGCAGAAAACACAAACATTAATTTTTCAGAAATTCTTATTCAAAATGGGGCAGATGTTAATTGTAAAAACTGTAATGGTTTTCAACCAATACACTTTGCAGCACAAAATAATAATTTACCTGTTATTGAATTACTTGTTACGAATAAGTCTGAAATACAAACTAAAACAAATAATGGAAACACTCCATTACATTTAGCTGTCGAATCAAATTATATTGATGTTGTAAAATACCTTATTTCCAAAGGTTCAGATATTTTAGAAACAAATAGTTATGGATCAACTCCATTTTTGACATCTGTGAGATGCAATCTAATTGATATTGCAAAATTACTTTTTTCTCATGGTGCACAAATCAATAAACCAAATCCTCTTATTGTTGCAACTAAGAATAACAATTTTGAGATAGTCAAATTCCTTGTTGAAAATGGAGCCGAAGTTCATGATCATCATTTTCAACGTGCAATTGAAAATAATAATTTGGAAATTGCCGAATTTTTCTTTACACATGGTGCAAATGTTAATATTGTTGATGCGAACAAACAGACTCCTCTTATGCTTGCGGCACAAAGAAACTATAAAGAGCAGCCAAATTCCTTGCTACACACGGAGCTTGATCTCAATGCTAAGGACAAATCCGGCAAAACTCCACTTCATTTTGCAGCAGAACACAACAGCAAAGAGACAGCAGAAATTCTTGTTTCTCATGGAGCAAATGTTAATGAAAAAGATCAATTTGAAAAAGATGCTCTTTATTACACAGCAAAACACAATAGTAAGGAAGTTGCTGAGATTCTTATAAATAATGGTGCAGATTTAAATGCGAAAAATCCAAATTATTCGCCTCTTCATCTTTCTATTGATAATCATAATGAAGAAATCACAAAGCTTCTTATTTCACATGGCACAGATGTTAATGTTAAACGAGGTAATGGATGGACTCCACTTCATTGCTCAATAAAGTTATCAGGAACAGATGTTCTCTCAGAATTAGTTTCACATGGAGCTGATGTCAATGCAAAGAATGATGATGAAGGAAAAACAGTTTCACATTATTTTGCAACATCTGGAAAACTTAAGCATCTTGAAGTTATTGCAAAGTATCATCCAGATTTCAATATCAAGGATAATGAAGGCAAGACTGCATTACATTATGCCTCTGAAAATAATCATTTTTATGTTGTTGATTTT